ATACATACATATATATATATATATATATATATATATATATATATATAAATACATATATGTATATAGATATATGTATATATATATGAAAGCATTTAAACCCTTCCCGCACTCTTGCAATATTCTAAACAATGCTTCTAAACTCTAAACGCTGTAAAACAGCACAGAATGTCATGATTTCTGCTCCCTGCCTCCGCTGCTCTTTGCCACCTGCAAGCGCTCTTGGCCACGCCCACTTCTCCATTCTGCACGGGGAACAGCTGATCAGCTGCAGGAGGAAGTTTATCCTGCAGTGTGGGCTGCACAAAGCTGCAGGAAGAAGCTTTTTCTGCTGCTCTGGGCTGCACAAAGGTGATGCAGGTGCTAAATAATTTAAAATAATTTATTTTAAATAAAAATTCCATGCCGATCGTGCAGCTCATCCATCAGTCAGCCAATTGTGTGTCTTCTCCAATCTCATTTTGAAAAACCGCGATACAGCTAGTCTGCGATAAACGAACCACGAAGTAGCGAGGGACTACTGTATTCATACAGGTAGTCTCATTGAGTCACACCCCCCCCCACCCCCGAGAGAGATGCGTATTGGGCAGCTATGTGAGTGCCTGGGTGTGACGAGGCTAAATGTTTTTGTGGCATGAAGCTTGTTAGCCCGTCAAAACAAAAAAGGAACATCCAAAGCTGCAACATTGTATACGCCACGGTGTTTGAAGCGTGTAAAAAAAGTAGTGGCTTATAGTCCGGAAAGTACGGTAATATAGATCAGTATGATGCAAAACAAAACAACACAATATGACTCTCAAAACCAACCACAACCCAGTCTGTTGTGATCCAGGCCAATATGAAGCAAAGCAATGAAGTTTATTAAAATGTATTTCAACCCAGTCCAAATGATGGGTGTATTCCAAAGCTGATGTTTCAGTATTTCTCATTTAAAAATGTCTGTTATTGTTTCTTTCAGTAAAATTAAGGCCTGGCACCAGAAGAGAGGTTTTGCCAACGTCCAGGGTGATGAAGCGTCCCACGAGCCTCGGCGCTGGGAGGAAGACTACAAACTGGTGCAGAGTGGGGGCCTGTTTGAAGAGTATCTGGAAATGGGTAATGACACATCACTTCACCAGCTTTGAAAACGTTTGTGAACTATAACCGTCAACGATAGAGACGGATACGTTTTGTCGCTCAAATCGAAAATGGCGTTTTGCCCCGCAGTGCTCCAGTTTGGGTTCATCACCATTTTTGTGGCAGCGTTCCCACTCGCGCCGCTCTTCGCCCTCCTGAACAACTGGGTGGAGGTGCGTCTGGACGCGCACAAGTTTGTGTGCGAGTACCGGCGACCTGTGGCGGAGCGTGCGCAAAACATCGGCGTCTGGTTCAACATACTGGAAGCCTTGTCTCACCTGTCGGTCATTGCCAACGTACGTAGATCCTTTTTTTTTTTTAAATAAAACCTAATATTACAAACACTAACGTTGTTTTACAAACATTTTTGTCCTTCCTCAGGCTTTCCTCATAGCTTTTACGTCTGATTTTTTACCTCGCCTGCTCTACCAGTACAAGTTTGATAACGATCTCCATGGATACGTTAACTTCACTTTGGCCTACGCCCCACTAAATTACACTGATTACCCCATGTGCAGGTATGCTGAAACATATTTTAAATTTCACGCTCAGCTTTTCAATTAAAGGCCAAGTGGAATGTTTTCAAACTCTTTGTGTAACCCATAATTTGGTGTGTTCAAGAATAATCTTTAAGCCACTTGTAAGCTTTATGTGAGTGAATTTGTCTTTGCTTTCTCAATTTAGAGAATGATTAAATCATCTTTTCCATTGATAGCAGCAGTTTGTTTGCTTTAAAAATGATCCTACAAGCTTGTCTCATGTTTTTAAGCCTCTGCTATAACTCCCATCAAGGAATGGTTGGACTTGAAATACCAAAGAGGCCGTAACTGAAGTAAAATGCTTCCAAATCCTGGTGCTAGAGTTATAGCAACAGGTTAGAATTACTGGTAGATTTTTATTTTTTGTTTACAAATAGGCAAAACAGTTAAAATGTCTTTGTCCTCATAGTGAAGATATGGGTTGAAATTGATAAGGAAAAGAAGACTGACCAACAGAGGGGAGTGTTTATGATGTTTCAAAATCTGTTTCTACCAAATGTCTCCATGTGTTTTGGAGTAATTATGTTCCATTCATTGTTAGATACAAAGCATTCAGAGACAACTACGGAAACTACACACTCTTCTACTGGGAGCTCCTTGCAGTCAGACTTGGTTTTATTATTGCATTTGAGGTAAGAGACGAGGCACTTCCTGTATTTGTCCCCTCCCTTTGGCCCGTTTCACTTCTTTGAAGACTCTCTGACTTTAAGTTACTGTATTTTTCGCCCTGTAAGTCAAACTTTTTTTGCATAATTTACATGTCCTGCGACTTATAGGCCCAAGTGACATATATATGGATTTTTTCCCATTGAAGTGCATTTATTAAGAAAATGTTAGACTGTGACACACATTTACTTTAATTTCGAGCAAACTAATAATTGTTTTTAAGTATTAATCTTGTTAAATTCTTGTTAAAGTCCTCCCATGCACACTTCCATGGCCGCCATATGGTAACCCATCGATTTTTGGCACAACACCGGCCCACATTTCCGGGTTCTCAGCAGTGACGCATAATAGATACGATGTATATGGCGAAGCGACATATTTATGGATTTTTCCACTTTATTAGACAAATATGAACTGATGCGACTTATAGGGCGGAGCGACATGTACGGCGGAAAATACGGTACTTTTATAACAGCTGGTCATGTGATCACTGCCAACATGTAAGTGTAGAAATTTACGTTTCACCAGGTGCATCACTCTAATAAGTTCTTATTGTCTAATATTAAGTGGTGGGAGAACAGGAGATAAATATTTCTGTCATTCCACATGTTGTGCTGTCACAAGCTGGAAATTATTTAGTTTTTCCAATCAAGTTGAAAGTAGCCCAGCTGTTCCGCGGTGATGAAACCGTCAGCTTGTTTTCTCTCCTTCAGCATGTTGTGTTCTTCGTACTGCGAGCCATTGACTGGATTGTACCTGATGTCCCCGAGTCCCTGGAGCTGAAGGTGAAGAGGGAGCACTATCTAGCAAAGCAAGCACTGGCTGAAAACCAGGAGGCCCTGCTGGTGAGTCAAGGCTAATGGGCCACCTCTGGCTCTCCAAGCACCTCCAGCCCAGGTCAGAAAGACCATGGGACACATGCACACACCACAGTACGTTCACGTAGTATTAAAATGCACATGTGTATTTATAAAATCTGATGAGCAAGTATGTGAATGTTCAAAGTGAGGTAAAATAAGGACTTTATATTGGTTTCTAAATGATCTAAAAAAATACATCAGGACGTAGTATCAACTTGCAGGGATTGTTTTATAAATGCGTTCATTAAAAAAACTTTTAAATTCAAGACTCAGTACATGTGAGTCTTTACTAAAACTGTACACATTAACACTTCATACTTTAAGTAAACAATTTATGTATTTTCATGCAAGATTTGGTATATCTGACATGAATATTTAAATAAAAATAAAATCATAGATTTGCTGTAATGTGAAATGTATCACCTACTCAGTCTCATAAATTAATTTTATTTAAAGCTGTTTAAAACCTTTGCCATCCAAATCCATAAAGATTTTGCAAAGCACAAGCACCTTGACTAGCTGTCAGGAGCTCATTCTGCTGCACACGACATGATAATTAAAGGTAATTTATGTGGGAATAGTTCCAAACGTAAGATTATGTGGATGCCATGCACAGACTTTGTGAGCTGATGAATGATAGCGTAGTTTATTTACTCTGTCAACGCCTCAGCTGATGTCTAACAGTGGAAATGAGATTTAAAAAGTAGTAGAACACCTCATATAAAACAAACTGTACATTCACACATGAAGTGGAGACGATAACAACCATAGTGTGTTCTCACTCTCACCTGTGTTAGTGCGAGTGTCCCTGTCCTCTGACCTCAGGCTGCCGTGTGTTTTAGTTGTTTGTTGAGAAATGAGACCAGGTGAGAACTGTTCAAGTAAGTGAAGACTTTCTATAGAAGAAAATATTTGTTTATTTAAAAGTTTAAGTACTTCTACAGTGGATTTACAGTACGGTAATTGTTGGAAGATCTACAGCTTTAAATCACATTTGCAAACATGTAAAATGTTACAAGTCTAAAATAATAATTTGTGTACTATTGTCCTGTCACCTTAAAAACAAAACAAAAAACAAATACTGTATTGTATTATCTGTCCGTTCATCCATCCATCCATCCATCCATCCATTATCTTTACCAACTTCTTCCTTTTCGGGTAGCGGGGTTCACTGGTACCCATATCCAACAGGTCACAATACAGTAGTCCCTCGTTTATTGCGGGGTTACGTTCCAGACTCACCCCCACAATAAGTGAAAATCCACCAAGTAGCAACGTTATATTTATTTTAGTATATATATATATATATATATATATATATATATATATATATATATAT